GACCTTTCCTCACCAGAGCGGCTCACAGGTGTTAAGGAGTGGCACTGCTACCCAACCTGTATAAAATGCAAGCAGAGACAGACACAATCCAGTTTCTGACTGAACAACGTCTGCCCGTCCGCTCATTTTATACCAGGTGTACCCTTGTAGTTTTACATCTACATATTTGTAACTCCCTCGAAATTTGCCATAATTACTTTAAATTTTAATTTGAATTTCAATTACCATTATTCTGTCCTCCAACACTCTTTAATTTCCTAATGCACTTTAAAAATCATTTTCTATCTTTTGCATAATCTTTAAATATTCTTTGTTGTAGCTAATTTATACTAACAACTGACCTCTGGTCACCTCAATACTATTGGTTGCTCTTTTCTCCTTACCAAATACATTTTTCAATAAACAAGTAACAAACCGCATTCCAATTTAATGCATCATTTTCTTAGAACCGAACAGGCTAAAATGTCAAACCCTAGTGACCAGCTTCTATGTTTATTTTTATTTTCAGAACTTCGCTGTTATCTCTCTCAGCCGAATAGTGCAAATACACCAAAATATGTTACATTCTTATTTTATTCAATTTTTGTTACGATATACTCACTAAAACAATAGTAACAAATATCTTTTTTAAATTCAGTTTTACATCTAAGCAATTTTGAAACCAGAGAATGTCCACCTTCCTTCCTGCTCATTACTGCAGGCCGACCCCTCTCCTATCCAAGCTTTCGATATTTTGACGGCATCGTCTTTGTCTAGGTTCAAAATGACAAATCAAGTTGATGTTGCGTCATCTCCGTACTTTTCAGTATCAGCATGAAGTGTTCCTCTGGATATTTCATTTGCAAAATATAGGTTCTTACTTCACCATAATGACCTTTGGTCCCAGCAATATGTGTTCCAGCGACCATCATCGTCCATGAAAATCCATAATCTCCGGAGCTTGGTGCTGTAAAAATCCCTGTTTTGGGGTTGTATCCATTTCCATTACTACATCAAATGCAAAGGTGGAGCTGGCTGTGCGTATGGCGAAGGTTTTGGAAATGTATGCGTAAAATGCTACTCCAAGCTTAGCTTGTTCTGAATGGTAATAAATGATCATTAACGAAAAACTTCAGTCTCAATAATGATTGTAACCTAAAAAATAACTCATGTATGCAAACTGCAAGAACAAACAAATATAATTAAGTAGGAATAGAAAGACAAAAAAGCAAAGCAATTCGGAAATATCAATAGATGTTTCTAGTAATATTTCAATTATTTCAATTATAAGTAAAATTTTAGATAAATAATTTTGGCCTTTTCATTGAAATCTGACAAAATAAATTATAATTTAAAAAAAAGTATTTATACCAAATATGTGATAAAATCTTTCACCCATCAGATTTCTTTCATATTTACCTACGATAAATATAATGTATTGTTGAAGAACTTCATAATTAAAATTTAAAAAAAATCACAAATGAATTCCAAAGCTCCTGTGAGCATTACAGATAACACTAACCTCCGCACTGACTTCTGTCGTATCTACATCCTGAACAGTATACACAACAGCTAGCAGTGCATTGAAAGGCAACCATACAAAGCATAACAAGAATTAGGATCAATATCTTTACATCCATCATACTTTCATAATATTGTTGTATCTTAACGCAAAAAAATGTTTTGCATGTTATATATATTACAGCATTTGAACTGAAATGATCCGTGTGCACCATATGCATAAATAATACTGCACGCAATAGTGAACTTAAGGAGTCGACAGCTGTATAAGATTTTCTCAATAAATGGGAACATTCAGGAGACTATAAAGAAATAGATCTCTTTTTTAAAGAATAAATATCAAACATTCATTACCATTTTGAAATAGCAGATGTTTGTTAAGCAAAAATTTGCTTAAAAGAAATTTTTGGAAGATTTATTTAAAGAAATTATTATAAATTTTTGACCCCTTAGTAGCAAAACCGGATTCAACAGAAATTTCCGTTACAGGATACGACTAATCTTATTCAAAAACAAGAGATTATTGCTGCATTAAAGATAAAAGGAGTGCTGAGAACCAGGTTTGGGTAAGGGGAAAAAAAGAACAAACGTCGTTTTACAAAAGCTATTTTGCCCCAAGATGAAAATGAAATCTCCGACAATTTAAAGCACATCTATATGACACCACCAATCATTTTGCAGACAAATTAGCTCCTGCTTAAAAAAAAGAGGATTTTGAAGTGAGGGTTGAAATATTCGCAGGTTTTGTTTAGAAGTTAGGGGCTTACAAATACCTACTTTTTAGTGTCAGTGGCTTACATTTGATCAATTAAAATACATGTACTTTGAAAACAAAATTCACAGGTAGATCACTAATTCTTCTACAAATAATTCTTAATTGTTCAGCTTATAAAAGAAGCATTCGCGATTATTGATTATATATGTAAATATTCTTCCCGCAGAATGTTAACAAACTATAAAATTTTGTATATGACTTTAATTTCTAGTGTATCTTGAAAACTGTTTTATACTTTCTCCACAATATACACTCAAGATTCTTTTACAAATTTTTAGTCACCACTTATTCAACAAAAAAGTAATATAAAACACAAATTACTGTTTTTGCAATTTTAGTTGAACATTTTTAAATTAATAAAATCAGTTTTAAAACCAAAATATAGCCATCTGAATACTGCTTAATTGCTATGGTTACAGCAAAGAGCAGGGTGACAGGCTATTGTCTGTAGAGGCTTATCTTGTTGCAAAGGTTTATTATGTCAGTTGCATTCAAACATATTTCACATAAGAATGCAATTCAATCTTTACAATTTGTTCTTTACATAATCAATTATTTATTAGTCCCCACCGGTGAAATCAGAGGTAACTGTAGGTTTCCTCTGAGTCTGTCCGTCCACTTGGTTTTCCGCACTATTTTTTCAAACGCTTGCAGATAATGAACTGATTTAAGGTACATGAGTGTACATGTATCTTGTTGAGTTACAGAGCAAGATTGTATTCCGTTTCGCTTCAAGGATTTTTTTAACGAAATTATGGCATTTTCAATTTTTAATGGGAACCAGATTACATTTGCCGGTAGGGAACTAGTATTGCTAATGCGATACTCTCAGAATGCTTATTCTATAAAAATGTCATTATACTTATAATATAAATCGTTTATTTACAACGTACATGGACTAGTTTAAAAATAAAACGAATTTTTTTTTGATGAAGTAATAAAGTACACTTAGTCATGAATACTTTTCCTGGGAATTGAAAAGCTTTTAGGTTATTCTATTTAATTTCGTAATTCATAATCTGTTTTTTTTTTATATCTGCCAATAAGCATGTTCATTGTACACATGAGAAATTTTCCTGTGTCAGTTTCCCTATTTTCAAATAGGAATTAAGGTCCCTTCGATCAAGATTCGACAATTGCTCTTTTAACAATAACCCAGCTATATATCTCTATTTCTTTGGAGGAACATTTGTATTTTCATGAGAAATATCGAATGTTCTTAACTAAAGAATCATTTTAGAATGCCGGTTTACTATGGTTGATTGACATAAGCCGATTAAAAATATCTCAGTGGAGTTGAAAATCTCAATATAAACCTCAATATAAATCTTCAATGCGTTTTGAATTACATGATATGATTCTTGAAATTCTTTAAATTCTGCTACATTTTATTGAAGAACGAAAATGATTTACATGCACATAATCTACTTTAAAGGTATAAGAAATGTTGGAATAAACAGAAGATTTCTTGACAAATTACAATGTGCATCTAAAAATAAAAAACACTACGTACAAGTAGTACCTATGTCGTCAGACGAGAAAGCAACACATTTATTGGATCAACAAACAAAGCAGAAAAATAACACATTTTTTTTCCAACGAATCACATTTTATCATTTCATTGTATCTTCATATTTATTAACATGTAGGATAGTTGTAAAGTATAAGGAAGAAAGTTGACCTGTATTTTTTCGCATTGATCGAGGAACATGTAGTTAACCTGCCCTTTTTATCGTATTTATCGAGGTACCAATGGTATTTTAAAACCAATGTCAATCATAGGCGTTTTCTAAATTACGGTTGTTCCGTGATTTATATTTGTCACTGCATAGGGTCAATGGAAGGAAATAATACTTGAAAAGAAATACAGTATTAAAATTATGAGTGTATTTCCTTCTGTTTTGTTGATTGGTAGTCTCTCTACTTCCCTAAAATGCTTAAGTTTTAGTATTGCATAAGATGGACAAGGAAGAAAATAAACAATTGGTGTAAACAAAACAATTTCCTTGTCTGTTTGTTTTAGGCTTTGTGTCCCTGATAACTAAAAGAACAGTGCAAATGAATAAAACAAAGGCAGAAAAGAAGTATATAAATGAAGACTTCCCAGTGTGAAAGATGGATTTTCTTAATAATTAAGAATCTCCCTCTTGAGTTACTTATCATTCTGTTTGGTGTGCTGTATACAAAGAAACATTAATTAAATATACAAACATATTAGTAATATACAATATTTTAAACACTTTTAAGTTATTCTCCAAGAAACCTAATAAATGAATTCAAATAAAAAAAAGATAAAAACTATATCGAAATACATAAATGATTGTTAACATATAATTGGAAGAACCTGGAATACATGTACATAAAAGTAATTATTCTGTTTATTTTGTCCGTAGATGACTAAATTTTGAATAAATGATGTATTGCTTCTATACATTACAAACAAATATAGGAAATATATTTGTGATTAGTGGCTAAATCTGGTTAAGTCTTTATTTTACAGATTGTGTTTATACAGCAATCATTAAACTATATTTGCACTAGGGAGAGGGTTAAAATAGGCTATGTCTGCTGTCCACTTTTTGTGAATAAAATTATGCATAAATTAAATCAAATTCATCTTTTTGCACACACGCATCAAAATACATAATTTGGAAATTTCTATAATCTCAAAGTATCAAAGATTTTTGTATAATTGTGACTTTGTATGACTATGTAGCCATTACAGCTAGTTCCATTTAGCAATTAGCGTAAACTGTATCATTCTGTAGATATTCAGCTAAAACATCATAGCAAAACTGGTATTCATCCTACAATAATAATTAAATAGGGATTAAAAGAAACTATCGTGATTAAAATAATAATTAGCGATAAAGTTCTAATTGGTGCCCATCTTTAATTCATTTTTTACTTTGCTTTACATCTTTTGTATTTTTCCTACCAATGTGGAGATAAATTCTGGTCTCCGAATTTGAAGCAAACGTGTATTTGTAAATATATCAATTTCGATATTTGCTCGAGGCAGTTGTAAACAATACAGAATGGACCGCAGCGTTTGACACCGTCACTGAAAAAGATAAGTTTGATATATAAATTGTGCACAGAATGTTATTATTCCATTTTTTATAACGAATAATTAATCTAATTAATATCCTATTTATACTTCGACAAGATTAGAATTCTTCTTCCAGTCAGGATTTTTTCAATTTTAGTTTCCTTTATCGCGTCAAGTAACGCCCTGCGGTCGAAAGACAAGCCTTCTTTCCACGCCCTGCACTCAAGTATAGCCAATCTCTTGATATCTCCACTTCCCTGAAAATATAACGCACCCACTTATACGTGTACATCTAATTTTGTAAAACAGTATGTCAGTAATATTGTGATGTTTTAACAAACCTCTCGCTTCAACAAAACTTCTGTGGTGTTAATGTTGTTTGAATTTGAAGATTCTGCAAATCTTACAGTGAACGAACCCAATGTTTTTGTCTCTTTTTTAAATGGAAGCCACAGGGTAGACTAGAAATATGCAGTTTAATTTCATATAAATTAAGAAAACAGTACACTTGCACATAGTAACCAATGGTTTAGCTTAATCAATAATGGTTATTTACTTATTTCTTTGGAAAAAACGTAATTATATAAGCACAATTTTAATATCAATGAATAAAGATAGAATAAAAATAAAAATTCAGATTTTCTGAGTGATGATATTGTAAGTGATAACACGTACTGAGGAAATATCTCTTAGAGGAGATAAGAATACAGCAATACGGACATCAAAGTCTGTCAGTAATCTGAGAAAGTCTTCCGTGTAGTCAGGAAGGGGGTACTGTGCGCTGATCAGGATATCATTGCTAGTTATAGACTAAAAAATCCCAATGAAATTATATTTTTAATGATAGTATTTTGAAAAATTATGTTTTGTATTTCAAATTGGTTTTATTTATTTGTTAAGCAAAAGATGTAAATTTTGTACAATCTTGCAAAACCTTGAGAAGAACAGCGTTATAGTATGTTCCTCTATTTTTCACGTAGTCCAAATAACATCTGAATTCCTCAACTACAATTAAAACAATAATTTGATCCTGCATGTTCTAAGTGTTTCAATTCATGCTAAATCGATCCCTAGTAAACAAAATACATGCATAGGCGTAAGAACCGGGGGGGGGGGTTAGCCCCCCTCCCCCCACTTTTTTTGCAAAGATAGACATAATAAAGGCATTAAACATTGGGGCGTAGGTTTATCCCCCACTTTTAACAGGCACATTGCAGTGTAATCAAAGAAGGGTAAGTGGTAGCGTATAACCCCCAACCCCCCCGGACAAAAAATTTGTTAAACAGAATATTATTTACTGATCATACAGAACTGGAAAATGAAATTTTAATAAACATGTTTGACTTCAAGTGATGTTTTCATTCAGTGTTAAAAATTCAGAAATTCCCTTTTCTGGGTTGAAACCAATTAATATTTCTACAGCAGAGTTGACTGGTAAATTTATTATTTTTTTCATAGAAAAGTTCGTCTTCTGGTTATATTAAAATATTATCCATATTACACTTGCAATCCTTTATAACACAAGCCCGTATAGTTTTGCCCCCTCCCCCTTACACTCACATACATACACATATACAAACCTTTTGTTCCTGTAAGGTTGAGCACTGACAAATTTCAGTATTTTTTTTTTGTTTTTGAAAAGTTTTCCAAAAAAGTATAAAAAGGTTCAACCCCCCTCACCCCCCCCCCCCCCCTTCTAGAGGGATAAAGGATTTTCGGGTTTAAACAGTTTCAGTTTTTTTTTATTGTTGCTGGTCAGATTATTTTTTTGGAGCCCCCCCCCCCCTTAAAAAGCATTGCTACGGGTCGCTTAGGATATTCTCAATGCCCATAATTAAAAATTAATTTACTTTCTTCATCAGGTTTATTTGCTCTCTTTTTTTTCAGTTGAAATCAAAGTTCTTATCTGTATTTTCCTTTCCATTCACTACACGGTCTGTAATATAATCCAATGCACTGCTTCAAGCTCTGTGCATACACTTGAGGATATTTCAGTCCTACTCTCCATTCCAGACAATTATATCACTTCAAATACCCTGATACCCATAAATATGTATTCAATAAATACTGAGTACTTTTCATTCAATACATTCTTGAAAGAATTGCTTCATTAGGCATTAACACTTTTGCCTTTTGTTAAAATATCGGACTGTCTCAGGTAAATGAAAATCTTTTGTTTATTTCTGAATATAACTCTTTGAAATTTGTTTTGTATCTTGATGAAAAGTGTACTAAAGAGTAGTGAAAAGTTTAGAAAGCAGTGTTGATTATTTTTCACTCTAGACTACTTGTCCACGATTTTACCGGACAACTCGTAAAAAAAATATATAAAAAGAGCGGCACAGGTGCATACCTGGTAAAATTGATGGCGTGTAATTTGCCTCTCTGTTTCCATGCCCTGATTCAAAATCATTTTTAGAATACTCTTTTCTAAGATTCCTCAATTCCTTTAAAATAAAAATTTATTTCAAAAACCCGTTAACATGATTTCTTCTAACTGAATATGTATTTTACATATATAACATTTATTGACTGAACACCCTCACTAGTTGTAGAAATAGTTAAAAATTAACCTCGAATTCAACAGATATCGATGATTTTCTTGGATTTTCTCCAGAGTTAGAATATTTGGAGTGTTGCTGATATTCTTGCAAAAAGGAATCGGTGGACATACATTTTGCTTTTCCTCTAAAGGACTCATAAAGCGCCAGATAGACAATTTCATACTGATCCTGCAAAGCAGCATGTATTAAAGTGGCAAAACGAGCCCCTCAATATATCAAGCACAGCTTAAATTAAGAATTCGAAATTATCAATTATTCGTCCAATGTTCCTAAAAATGATTTTCGTACAAATATATCAATGATATAATTATACTTCCAATGCGCTCACATTGACCATTTGGAATTGACATCTTGCTTTAATCTTTATAATTATTATGAATAACCTTTGGCATGTGGAGCGTGTTAATATTTTACAAAATAATAAAAACACCACTTCAGAATATACAGTTTATAAATGAAATGGATGAAGATAAAGAACAGTGACTGATAAAAAAAATCTATCTATAAGCAATATGGTATCATCACTTACACTCCCCTGTATCATGTTCATTCTGTCCTTTCTCATGATTTCTACATACTTTTGCACATTAACTTTCCCTGTTTTTTCACCTTCCCGGTAGAGGGCGTCCAGTGCTATGTAGGTTCCCGTTCTCCCTATACCAGCGCTAGATAAAGAGATTGTTTTTAAGAGGAGATATATATATATATATATATATATATATATATAGAGAGAGAGAGAGAGAGAGAGAGAGAGAGAGAGAGATCATGCCTGCAGTGCACAAGCGTATATTTTCCACCACTTATATCAGACATCCGCATCACGTGACGATGAAATATCACAAGGCTGAGCGGATCAGGAACCCCGTGATCTGGCCATTTTGTGTAATGAAACATCATCACCGTCAGGTTTGTTTTGATCTGATGGAGGCAAATGTGTTTTTGTTCATTAAAAATGTTTATTTCGATTGGTGATTTTTGCTGATAAATTTGACCTCAGAGTATTTCATATCAATTAAAAGTTACTTTGAAATGAAGTTTTCGAAACATTGAAAAATATTAATATATAATTATTCTCACATTTTTTCTCCTTAAGCGAAGAGTTCTGATAACATAGTCTGCATAAACAGTCTCCTGTTCGGAGCAAATGGTGAATTCTCCAACCTTTACTTGTTCGTCATTGTTTGGCCAGTATTGAGAGCATTTTATCTAATAAAATATTGTATAACTATATCCTAAGAATTCATCATCAGAGTTATCTTTGTTGCCTGTCGCCACGATCGTCAGACAGTATAAGGATCAATATTTCCATTGTCCGAAACTAAGCAAGAATTTGTTACCTGCATTTTAACAAATACAGTTTGAAGAAGAAAGAATCATATCACTGATGCAAAGTAATGAAGTTTCTATTTCAGTTTTTTTTTTTGCATGCACCTGTTTATTCTTTGCGATTCTTTATGCGGACATGTCCATGTAACATTTTTTCTGCGTTTCTAAACTACTTGATCAGTCCATTTGTCTTCTACGAAAGGGGTGACACAATTATTTTGCGCCAAATGTCACGAGTAAATTATCTTCGCGCCTTCTTTTGGATTGTTCTATTGAATGGGTGTGATAACTTCTATGGAAATAAAGTTTGTTCTTTTAACCTCATCTTTGAGCTTTAGATTTTTACATTAGCTGCAAATTTTATATATATATATATATATATATATATATATATATATATATATATATATATATATATATATATATATATATATATATATATATATATATGTATAACGAGTATTAAAATGGGAATACTTTTTTTTTCGCCATGTTCTTTAATTGTTTGTTTTTCTTAACCAAATGCCCGTTTTTTTAAAATAAAAATTCATCATAAGGTCCATGAAGATTTTTGGCATTGTCTTTCAAATTAGTTAACTTCTTTCAGTTAAACCATAATGCACAAAGTGAGAGATCAACATTAATTAATCATTACTAAGTATAAATAATTGTTTTCGCCGGTTTACTTTATTTGTCACTTAGCCTCTTCACATGTACGCCGATCATATTTTCGGCTTACGTCGAACTGTGACAAATGAAGTCATCCCGAAGTAACGCAACAATGTAGCTCCTTGATGATGGAAACGTTTAGCACTTCTCTTGCTTATACGTTCCATAGATATTCCATATTGATTGTTCAGGCAAGCTTTTTAAAAAGCTACTACTTATTGTAACTAATTTTTCCTAGCATAGTGCAATCAAGTGAAATTTAGAATCAATAATATATCTTCATTTATAAGAAAAAAACCTTTTCTCCTTCCTTTAGATTCGTCAAACACACAATTATATTCAATTTTTCTTGCCAAACCATAGACCAGAAATCAGTAATTGTCTTTGATTTTGGACCTAATGCGAAACAAAAAAAGTTGATTAAATGCAATTTCAGTTTTCAATGTCATTCGTTTGTCTAGTTAGTCGAAATGCAATGAGGTTAGATTTAGTTTATCTTTTACCTTGAGTTGCTATATATGCCCTTTGCCCTTGAGCATCCTAAATTCAAATACAAAAATAGATACTAGACGTTAATTTCAAGAAAAGAATTATGTTTCTTAAGAAGGAAAAAAAAAATAAATTTGAAAAATATAACTAGGTACCTCAATGAAGTTTGCATTAATGTAGTCAGATCCGTTTGATAATGTTGAAAGAACAACGCGGGAATGGTCATCTGAAAAAAAGAAGCAGCTATTTTTGAAGCGAATAAACTACTTATTATATTTAGGAAGAGTTTGATGAAGACATAACTCAACTCACAGGCATATGTCGTTTTGTACCGGTTTTTGGACATATTTTCAGGCTTTTTGGCTTCCAAACAAGGAAAAAGTTCTCCCTTCTTAATTTCCTGAAATTAATCAACCACTCAATAAATGTCATCTATATCAAAAGACCTTAGCTTTTTAATTCTTACATTGAATATTTTTATAGCGCAAACCGTTACTTATATATATGTAGCCCTAAGCATTTAATGCATGAAAAACCCATTTGTTCAAAAGCCAATCTTATGATTAACATCATCGAAAGTGATAAATACATACCATATATTCATTTTTAAACCCAGCACTTTCACAAAATGCCATTTTTTCTATAATGACATGCAAGTTTTTCATCGATATTATTTTCTTAGTGCGGATCAATCCACCTCTTGGATCTGTTGCATGTCCATGGTCCACAAGACTAATGGTTGATTCGACAACAACTGCCAAGTTGATTTTTTTCGAAGATTTGGAATCTAACATAATATCATCACCATATGCATATCATTTGTCTAGTTTCTTTCATTTGTATTTTGTATATAATCAGTACATTCGTAAAATGTTGTTCACCCCACAGTTTATTCTCACATACATTTTAAGAATATTTTTCAAGGTATTTATTAACAATATTCCAGTAAATCATACTTTTAATGAAATCAGAAATCATTTATTACCTAGCTTTGCTGATGAATGTTTAATATCCAAGTTTTTAAGTATTGTCCTTTCTTTTGAATCAAATAGTACTTTTTCATTTTGTGACTTTTTTCTATATCTAAATAAAGAAATGCAGATAAAGGACAATTCTGAATGCCACATACATGAATTGATAATTCGATGCCATGATACAATCTTGATTTCAAGATTTTCTTCATTTTTAGCTAAATACGTAAAAAGAGATTGATTTGCCTTTCACTTACATGTATATTGTATGAATTTCGACCAGTGATAAGATACAAAAACGTAATTTATTCATTTAGTTTTTATCCTGATAAAAATCGATGATGCAGATGAATTAATGATGTTTAAGTGATCAATGAAATACCTTGACTCACCGTAAAAAAAGGATCAGTGACACTAGAAATATGATGAGGAATATACTTGTTCCAACACTTAAGCCCACAGTTACAGATTCGTCAGCTCTTTCAAAAGTTTGACTTCCTACTTTTGCTTCATTCTCTATGGCAACTATTTAAGATAATGTAACTATCGGTTGACTGAAAAAAACCTTTAACAACGTTCCTTAAAACATCTAATTATTTAATAACAACTTTGCTATCAGAAAATATATTTTTTTTATCAGTGCTGGCAATGTAGAAAATTGATATTCTTGTTTAAACTTATTTTGTTATCATGTAAAAAAAAAATAAAAATAAAAAAAATTGAAACATCTCACTGTACATGAAATTATTTGAAAATGTATCCTTGCAATCTGTAGTGTAAAAGTATTTTTTTGCAGTTCGAAACAATATATTAACTTTTTTTACATTGCATTGCATAAAATGTTCATTTACATATATAAATTGTAATAAGAAATATTTCTAGCATGTTTTCTTCTTTATACAGTTGAAATTGGTCATATGATATCCTTACTATGTCGACTGCTGTGAGATCACAATGGTTTTTGCATTAAAGTGACGAACTCAAATAAAGTGGATTCATATATAAAATTAAACATGTATCAGCTAAATATAAAAAGTGTGATAAAAGAATCTCTGATTTTTTCTGGATATGATTTTATATAACTCGATTTGTGTTTTCTATCACTTCGCTAATAAGGTTTCAGAATAGAAAACCCACAACTCGTTCGCAAATGCATATCCGACCACAAACGATGGACTATTCCATAAATTTGTGTATCAACCTTGTTTACATTCTGGAGAATTCTGTTGTTTTGTTTTGCAGGTACAGGTCCCATCAACATGATGACATATATTAGAGCAATTCTCAGAGCAGACTTGAGAGCAATTTGACCCAAAATATCCACTTGCACATGCTGTAAAAGATATTAAACACTTTAAATGATTTGTTATAAAACCAGAATCAGCATCATGTATTTTGAGTAATATATGGAGGCAAATTAAATTTATCTTTAAATATACGATATAAAATACATCAATTGCATAAAAACTTGTTTAAAATTTTTTGTACGAGCGAATCAATGTACCTAAAAATGATTAAGGCTTCATAAATTTGTGGAAGACTAAAAGAGAAACACACAGAAAAGGTGTTAATAAACAGTTTGAAATGTTTTTTTCATTTGCTTTTTAGAAGTTATAAATCTTACTTGAATTACACTTAGTTCCATTATATCCACCTGCACAACCATTTTTACAAACTCCTGTCACGTGGTTACACGACTCCATGTTTATGCAGTGTTGACTACAAGAATTCGTGCAGCCTGTTCCATAATGGCCTGCAGTACAAACTGTCATGAAAAGGACAGAAGATAGTTTTAATAAGAGATAATGTAAAAGATCAATTTTACATAAGAGAAAATTTAAAACAAATGAAGGGCTTTTATTTCCCGTATTGAGAAGGTTGTGGGTGTCAGTCAGACCCAATCAATCCTCAGACATTTAACTAGTGTAGAATTATTTTAATTAGTGGCGATCATTTTTTTTTTATACTTTCTCATGTAATCTACGAGTATTACAGTTTGTAATACCCAATTAATCGTAACTTAGGATAATAAGAGAGACATTTTGCATGTTCAATATTTTTACCATATAAAAAAGAGATAAGTGGGAGTCCCTTTCAAAAGTTATAATAAATTTACCCAGGGAACATTTTCCTCCTCTCCATCCTGGTTTACATCCATAGTGACAGGTGCCAGTTATATGATTACAAGACTGATTAACACAGTTCTCACAACTCAAAGAACAGTTCTGACCATACCATCCTTTGCTGCACTCTTTTTTTTTATTATAATGGAAGAGGTTTTTTGCAAAAAGAACAATTATTTTTGTTATTATTTAACGACAATTATTATTGTTATCATTTGACGAGATTTTGAAAGCATTCAATAAAAATTTCATGACAAATGTATACGTACGTTCTTTACATGTGGAACCTTGATACCCGCTTGTACACCCATTTCCACAGTACCCATTGGTATTGTTACAGTTGTTTAAATGACAGAAAGGACTACATTTTTCTGAACAGTTTTGTCCAAAGTACCAATTGCTACAAACTTATAGAGTCTCCATAATTATTTCTTACCAGGTCTGAGTTAAAAAAAAACACCCCAAAAGTAGAAGTTTTCTCCTAAATATGGATAACATAAGTGTGAAAGGGGTTGGAATTGACTTATCTCTATAGTTTGCAATCCTTTTGTTTACTTTATCTTTCAATTGGTTTTTGATTGCTATTTGAGTTCAGGTATTATAAATGATTAGGAAATTTGATATTTCAAAATGAATTTTTAAAAGAAAAAAAAAACAATTACTGTTATTGCAAAGTTCTCCCTTGTACCCTGGTTTACACCCTTTGTCACATTTTCCTGTTGTGCTGTTACAGATTGAATCATTGAGGCAATGTCCACTACAGTTATATTTACAATCCGGGCCAAATGCTCCAGGGGAACAGCCTAGAATTGTAACACATATCGTACATTTCATGATCCTATTTCTAATTCAGTAAACACGAAACATGCTCTTTATAAACATTCTGTAAACATCTTAAATATCTGTCCAAATCTTACTTTTATTGCAAAACAAACCAGTCCACCCGTCTGTGCAGCCTTTAGAGCAAACGCCATCAACGGGATTGCAAATTGAATTATTTTTACAATGATCGGAGCATGATAACAAACATTTGGGACCATACTTTCCATATGAACATGCTGCATAATAAAATGATTAAAGATTAACTGTAGTGTACTGGTATCATTAAAAATGAGCAACAAAACAGTAAAGGCCTTATTAAGATTGATCTAAATTTACTTTGAGGATTGGTTGATTGATAAGTCCAATACAGGCAAAAAAAATCAAAAAATATTCTTTGATATTGTTAAAAAGTGGCGTTTCATTGGAATTTGTTAGAATAAGAGCTTTATATAAACTATCGCTACTGTAACTGATGTGGTAGAAGTTCTTTGTGCAGGTTCTGTTGTAGATATTTTCAAAATGGAAATATACATCATTTATAAATGTTCATGTAATATAATACAATGTATAAAGATCTTACAAACAAATTGAATGCATTTTACTGCTTAGGGTAGAAATCAAAATTGTAAGGAAAGAAATTGCGTTAAAATAAATACTGGATAGCTTTACCTTTGTTGCACTTATAACCAACCCAACCATCCACACATTCAAGGCATGTTCCGTTTGTGATCAAACACTTGTTATTTTTACAGTTCTGAGGACACTGAAGATCACATTTATCACCGTAAACACCTTTCAGGTTGCAACCTGTGTCATTTTTAGCACATTAAAAATATGCAATGATATGAAATTAGCTGTGGGTAAAATGATTAAATTGGAATGTTTGATTTAATGTGTTATCTTTAAAAGAAACTCATTTGGACCTAATAAGTAGAGGAAATCATGCCCTAGAACTTTAATGAAAAATTACATGCAAAAGAACTTAAGACAAAAGCAACAAAGTCGAAACAATTAACCACGTCATCCTTTCGACTGTCTTAAATAGAGCCCTGGCAGTGTCTTTGAATTTCTTGCTTAAAATAATGTGCACTTACGCAGATTCTGATGTGCGACATTTTCATGATTTACTAAGCCTTGATAGGGCATCAACTTTGAAACTCAAGATCATATTCCAATTTAAGATTGTCAAGAGGAAGAAGCAGTTCTGCACTAGTTGTTGTGAGAATTATAACATGAGGTCTTTAACAGTTTGAAGTTCTACTGATTTTGACTTTCAGTACTTTTAAGGAAGTATTAACGGTTTCAGCATTTTGTAGTGAAAGTTTATTTGAATATTCAAAACAGTTATTATTTCAATCCAAGATTTTCTATATTTATTACTGAGATAATTTCAGTAAAATTTCCTATGTTTAAATCCAAAACAACAAAACATACACGCAGAGTTTATGCAGATAAACGGCAAAGAAATGAATCTCCTCGTATCTCTATACCTTTTAAAACCTAAAGTGAAGCATATTTCCGTTTTAAGCGAAATTAATTTTTCACAGAAAATACAATTTCAGATATAATCATTATATCAGAAAAACTAATCATCAAAATATTAAACAAAACAGATACATGTATTAGTTATTTAAAGTCAAAATATAGAATCATGCATATTAATAAGCAAAGATTTAACGATCTTATCTACCTTCGAAAAAATAAAATCAACATCTTTAGGGAGTGCTGCTTTATTGAGTCTTAAAATGACCACAGGAAGTATATGCAGTAATGTTATACACATTATTTTGCTGAACGTTTATTAAATTACACTTACCTAAAACGACAAAATTGCACAATTCTACATAGGTGAAATTGTCATTAACAAATTGCACATATCGTCCAAACGAGGCACAGGTGTGCTTTGCAGTTAATGATGGTAGATGTAGCCCCTTGTCTTTAAAGCACAATTTGCCACTTTTGATATCTGGAGAATTTGATACATAAATGGCATATCCTGATAAACGTTTTTGCTGACGTAATCCTTGAAAAAAAAAACACAAGTAAAAAGGAACCATGAGCATAAGGTAATCAGAAATAGACAGTAGTGGTGTTTTTTTTCTTAAATTAAATGCTTCGGTAGAATATTAAAAATCAACTTTGACCATTTTGCACTCTAAAACAGTAAAAAACTTCGTTGAGGACATTTCATTTGGGTTTCATTTTAATCGGAAATTAATACGCCCGCGAAAACGTCAGTTTAATTTTTTGGATGAATACAGGACATGTATTTCAATGTGAAATGTAATAGATACTTTTACATTGCACATATTAAATTAGATTTTTATATGTTTGTGGTTTAAAATCTAATTGATCCTACTTTTCGAAACATAAAATTGTTATCCCCTTCCAACGGAGTTTGAGGGGATATAGTAACGCAATTGTGTGTATGTTTGTGTTAGTTAGTCCTGTGCGAAAAGGATGTGACGTGATTTGCACCGATATCGAATGTTGCCTTGATATAGGTATATTTTTAATTTGTTCATATATATATGATCTCATACTCCAGTCACACATATAAAACTGAACGAGGGAATGATAAAATATAAAATAAAGTAATTTGCTTTTCCAAGTGTAAATTATAATTGAGTTGTGTGCAATCGGGTTCGAAATTTTTGTTAACATCATATTTAGCTACGTAGCTTGAATTACCTACATATAGTAAAGTCGTCAATTACAGGTTTACGTATCCATGATTATTGTCGGTACTTTTTAAGCATGAAAACATTTACTTCTTAACAGCGCTTGTCCAATCACTTTATATTTAGTTGCATCTATATAGCTTGCCTACGTACAGTGAAGTCGCCAATTACGGATTGTCTCAGTTCCTACTCATTCGAATGTATTTTATTCCACATTGTTTAAACTGAAGCACAGAAAAATTAATAAACACACTGGTCAAGAATGGCTTTTTCTGTCTGTGATCAGTAATAGTATTTCGAAAATCAAGATTAACTTTTTTGTTCACTACAGCAAGACAAAAATTGTAGTTAAACAATTATAGCTGCAAAGTATGGCACTTGCTTTCAGTTATAACTCAGAAATCATTTATACTGATCACTGCTCAAATAAGTTTACGCTGATTAATAAATTAAACTTTAGCAGCGGTCCGCACATCCCATGACATGGAACAAATTATAAAACAACACATGCTCAATATTCAAAACCTAGTGTCAACTTTTTATTTACTTAGAGTTATCAAAGTATTCTCCAAGGAAAATACAAAAGATTGTGTTTCCCTTGCAAAAAAAGGAAATAAAATAGATAATATAAAATAAATTTATCCCCTCGCAAGAAAGCTGGAGGGGAAATAGTAACGTTCGTGTGTGTGTGTTGGGGCCGGGGGAGGGGTGGGTGGGTAGGTCGATGGGTGAGTGGGTGAGTAACAAAATTAAGCAAGTAATAATTCATATCAAGATTGGTATGCTTTTTTTTTCTGAGGGGATGCTCTGCTTTGCGGTGCCCTTGTTAATATTGCTTTACAAATGTACGGGTTTACATAAAAAACCCCGAGACACTGAGGTTCATATCACTTTAACTGGCGTTACGCATTGTTGTAATATTTTTCAGCTTTTACGGAGAATGCCATGGGCCTTCCTATTTATACCAAGTTTCGAGAATTCTCTTCAATCTGATAAACAAAAAAAGTCAGCCATGATTTGTTAAGAAGGTTACTTATTTAAATGACTTACCAAATTCACTATAATTCCTAAAGTTAAACTCAACGGAATATATGGATTTTGGCTCCAATAGATCAACTCTCCACCATTGATTCTTTTCTAATTCTGTTCTAGTACAGGTTTCTAAGTTATTGTCAACAGCATGATTTGCATCTCCACATCCTTTGCATGCAAAGGTTGAACTTTGTGCAGCGTTTTTTCCCTCAGACAGGTTTTCTTAATAAATGTTAAATTATATGAAAAGAGGCAAACCATGTTATGATATTTTTCAGTAACTTTTCAATCTAACCTCACCATTAAAAAATAATTTTAACATACCAAAACCATAAGATGAAATAATCCCAACGAACATGAATAAAATCTTTAAATCAGTCATAACTGCGTATAGATGTTTATGGAACAGGCTGAATTAGAAATTGAGCAAAACACGGTACGCTTGTACATGTTTGTTTAAAAAGAAACCGAAAAACTATAAGGTACTTTCAGAAGGCGGAGCGAAGGTTTCAAATTATTTATTATATGGGCCCCGCCCAAAATTGCTGAATAAAACAGTTTCATGAAAATAAAGATTTACGGATTATATCTTTGAAACATTTTTAGTGGTGGAGATACATTTTCATGGTTCTTTTGGCGATTAAAGTATATACATAGCATAATTAAAAGCACAGGATTTGGTGCTTCAGGTTAAAACAACACCATCAGAGTTTTTCACATAGTTTGAATCGACTTTTTTGCAAGGAAAGAAAGCGCATTCTACAATACAAAAGTAATATGTTAGACGGTGTGACCGTTGGTGAGGGCGGAGCCATCAAGTGAACATTTCTACATTTTATTGTTTAATGATAAGTCAGTGTTAAAATCAAATTGTGTGCATGGTGTGTAGTTAGTGTCAGAAAATCATAACAAAGACCTCAGTCTTTAAAAAAAAGCTTTAAGTTCTCTTACCTCAAATATTTTTCATTTCAAATAAAGAAATTTAAGGGTATTTAGTTTTATAAATCTGGAATACTTTTTCTAAGTTATTTCATCATGAATTGCCTAGCCAGAGCACTCAAAATCAAGTAGCATAACGGGGAAAGAGCGTGCACTGGACCAGTCAAGGATTCAACCTACCAAAGCCCAAGAACTCTTAAACATTAACTCTTTCACCTATGTATCTGTCCAACAATATTAATAAACGAATATGCCTGAGCAACATTTCTTTATCTTTCACGACTTAATTTAAAAATCCCAATCCAGAAAAATCAAGTCATTTAATTCTCATCTTTTACTTCCAATGCATGGTCATGACATCAAATACAAACAAGGATAATTGTCAGGGAATACATCGGAAGTTGAACTTGGGACCCAAACTACAGAAAGATGATCTAACTCCTGGGTTATCAGGACACTTGGAAACTGATCATCTGACCAACACTAGGGCTGTGTATCGT